CGAGGGAGGGAGGAGAGGACTGTTTACTCCCTATCTGGGGGAGGGAGGTTCCTCCAGGGGGGGATGAGGGGGTTCAGGAGGGTCTGGGAGTCTCACTCCCACCTTTTCCCCCCTCCCCAGAGTGCCCCCTCCCCGGCACCGACCTGGAGATTAACCCCACCCTGGAGTCGCTGTGTCTGAGCATGACCGAGCACGCCCTGGGAGGTACGGGGGGCTCGAGGGGGTCTGGGGGGGAATCGTGTGGGGGCACTGGGGGGTGTTGGGGGGACACTGGGGATCTGGAGGTTGAGGAGGAGTCTGGGAGACATAAAGGGGCCTGGGGATAGCAATGGGACATGGAGGGGGGATAGGGGGGTTTGGTGGTCTGGTGGACACAAGCAGGGATTGGGGGTGGGGAGGGGGCACAAAGGGACAACCTCTGTCCCCCACAGTACCCTCACCCCTGTCTTGTCTCTCTCCCCACAGATGGCACGGACAAGACCTCCACCATCTGATGGTGCCTCCCCCATCCTCCCCAAGGTGGAGGGGCACCCCCTTAACACCCCCCCTTCTCCTGCCACCCACCCCCCAGGGGGTCCCCAAAACATCTGGAGCGGCGGGGGGGGGTTAAAACCCTTCCTCCCCCCTTGAACCTCCCCCACAGCAGGGGGGGTGGGCTCAGGGGGTTCCCCGGTGAGGGAGGGGCTCCCCCAGGCCAATGACCTCACAAGGGGGGTCCATGACACTACAGGGGCCTTGGGAAGGGGGGGGGGGAGCATTTTATGGGGGGGTTTGTTGCGTTTTCACCGTTTTAAAGATCCCAGAATTTGGGGGTTTGTGGGTTCATTTTCCCCCCTCTTTTATTATTATATTATTATTATTAATATTATTTCTGTTCCAGCCCCCCCGGGGGGTGGCGGGGGCCGGGGTGGGGGACACCCCAAATTTAGGTACAGGCTGAGCCCCCCTCCCCAACCCGGGGTTGGGGGTGCCCCGGGCCCCCCCCCCTCGGTACAACCCCTTCCTCCCCCCCCTTTGTAGCGCCGCGGCCCTGAAATAGAAAAAAATCGTTATTTTAGATACATTTTATTATGAATCCTTTTGTTATGATATGGCTGGTAACCATGAACGTTATTAAACACAAAAAACACCCACAACAGCTGCTTTTTACCCCAGAATGGGGCCGGGGGGGGGCGGGGGGGACGTGTCAGCCCCTCACTCGCTGGAGGAGTCGGAGGCGTCGCTGGGGCTCTCCTCATCTTCCTCCTCCTCCTCCTCTTCCTCCTCCTCGCTGGCGCTGAGCTGGGGGCTCCGCGGGGGTGCCCCCTCCTCGCTGCCTTCCTCCTCCTCCTCCTCTTCCTCCTCCTCGTCATTGTCGCTGCCAAAAATCTCCTCCTGGTCGCGGGCGGCTCTGGCGGCATCGCTGCCCCCCCGGCGGCCCCCCCGGGCCCCCCCTTCCTCCTCCTCAGCCTCCTCCTCCTCCTCCTCGCTGCGGGCGGAGCCCCCGCCACGCTCGCTGCCGCTGCCGGAGCCTTCGGCCTCGTCCTCCTCCTCCTCCTCCTCCCCGCTTGCGGCCCCCTCGCTCTCACTGCCCTTCTCGCGCTCCTCATCTGCACAGGGGGTGGGTTTTGGGGGGTTCTCAGCGCTCTGCCCAACCCCTCAGGGCATGGGGAGGGACAGGGGAGCCCCCAGACCCCACCCAGGGACCCCCCGGACCTGATCCCGCTGCCTCCTTCTCAGCCTCCAGCTCTTCCTCCTCTTCCTCCTCGGGCTCGTGGTTCTCCAGCTGTGCCCGCCGGGCCTCCTGGAGGGGGCAGAGAGGGCGGGTCGAGGGTGGTTTTGGGGAGGAACGGGGGCATCAGGGGACCCCCCCCCGAGTCCCACCTGTGCTTCCAGCTCCTTCTCGTTCATGTCCCGGTGCTTCACCACCAGCACCGCGTTGGTGCCCGACTGGACCCCGGCGCGCGCCCGGCGCTTGCTCAGCCGGACCCTGGGGGAGCACAGGGGGGGTCGTGGGGAGCCAGGGACCCCCAGGGACCAACAGGGACCCTCCTGGGGCACCCCAAATCTACGGGGACCCTCAGGGACCAACAGGGACCCTCCCAGGGCACCTCAAACCTACAGGGACCCCAAAAGACCTACAGGGACTGCCCCCAGACCCCTCTGAACACCCAACCAGTGCCCCCAGTGCTGGTCTGGGGACGTCTCCCAGCCCCTCCCAGTGCCCCCCATCAATCCTGAATCGGGAAATCTGCCAGTGCCCCCCACTGCCCTCCCAGTCCCTCCCAGTCCCCTCAATGCGGATTTAAGGGCTCTCCCAGTCCTGACTTGGGGGTAACTCCCAGTGGCCCCAGTCCCCTGCCAGTGCCTCCCACACCCCTCCCAGTGCCCCCAGTCTGCCCCAGTCCCACCTGGTCTCCAGTTCATTGTAATAAACGCCGTCCCCCTCGCGGAAGATGAAGAAATAATTCTCCTCGTAGCCTTTGCTCGCCTTGTTCTTCACGTTCCAGTTGTACTCCCGGGCGATCTTGTAGTCATAGCTGCGGGAGGGGGCATGAGGGGGGCTCAGGGAAGGCCAGGGAGATCCCTCTCAAACCAGCCCCCTGCCCTTCCCACACCAGAGTCCCCCCAGAACCTCCCCAAAACCTCCCGGGGTCTGTCACGGTGTTGATCCATCTCCCCCCACAACTCCCCCACTGCTGTCCTATAAAAAGCCCCTTCCCAGGCTCAGGGAGACTCCCCAGCCCAGTTTTGGGGGCGTCCCTTACACGTCCTCAGGGGCGTAATCCACGTCCTCCTCCTGGTCCCTCTTCCTCTTCCTCAGCGTCTCCTCCACAGGCAGGAAATAGGCCACAAACTGGTTCCCCTCCTCGTCCATCATCCCCCTGGGGAAAAGGGGGGTCAGGGGGAGTGGGGGG